GGAGGCTGAAGAGCATCATCGAAACCCACCAGTTTGGTATGCGCCTAGTAGCGAACCTTGTTCCTAGCCATGCCAGGAGCCCCTAATAGCGTCCTTGCTCCTAGTAGCTCCGGGGGGGGGCTCTCTGGGTGACACACGGTCTTTTTTCCTTGGGACGCGGGCAGTCAAGCTTCGAGCTCATGGGTTGGAAGGGAACTGAACTCATTCTTCCCTGGGACCACAAACATCTAAATGATCTTCAGGTGATGTACCCCAGGGCTCCAGTCGTACCTTCTGAGAAGGTGGGACTGGGGCGAATGCCAGGAGGGTCCAAATACCTTCGGAGGAGGCACGACTGGAGCCCTAGGGGTAATGACCTCAAATACTTTGGGCTCATGGGGACTGGTGGAAGAAGACCAACACGAAACGACTGTTCACATCCCAGTGGCCATCCACTGAACCATAAACGATGAGTCAGGGGCCATCCCAGCACCACCTAAACGGAGCCATGTCCCCCAACCTTTGCGACCAAGCAAAGGTTGGAGCCCGGGGTCAACACCCCACGTTGCTCTCATTCAGAACACCAAATTCAGCAGCCAAACAAACATTCCATGGCTGGTAAAACAGTTGGTTCAGGCATATGGATTGGCATATTAATATCTTAGAAGCTGTGCTTGTTTGGACCACCAACCACAAGCCTTTTCCAATCAACAGAATAAATGAAAAAAACACAGGCAAATGCATGCACATGCGTTCTACACTTCTACATGGTTATTAGCTATCTTCTTGAGGATGCCATGTTAGGTAGCTAATTTCATAGCGGCTAATTCTATGTGCCAAATCCCTGAGGCCCCCCCCCCTCTGAGGAGGTCCTTGTTGCTCCAAATCCTTTCACCTCTAAGACCATCCGAGCCCGGAGGTGACCCTCCAGGGGCGGAACACAGCCTTTGGCTGCGCCCTACCTGACATGGCGTCCCAAGGGCGGCGAGTGGCAAAGCAAATCCCTCACCATCCAAGCCAAGCACATGGATCTCGATCACATCCATGTCGTTCTCCTCTTTCTCCTCCATGTCGTTCTTGCTCGTAGCCAGGAGAGACGCCATGATGTAAGAGAAAGAGGGACGCGTGATGAAATGGTGCGTGTTTGTTGCATGCGCGAGCGGGTGTGCAACAAATCACATGTACCAGGCGTGCATGACTAGGAGGCGCTACTTGAGGTGATCGTTTACGACTTAGGCCCGCCAAGGCCCTCCCTTGGCACACAGTCTGGATCCTACCTCCCCTATCCCCTCCAAGAACCAAGTTTTCGGATGGATGAGTTCCGGTGAACACCTGGAACTTGAAGACATTTGGGAATTAGATTAACTAATAGCTTCTTCTTACTACTAGTATGGCACTTCTTACTACTAGTAAGGCACTTGTTCCTAGTAGCAATGCACTTGTTCCATGGCTCATATAGGGTCTTTTGGGCTGATCAGTCATCTTTCTCGTTTCGCACGTGAGCCGGCAAGCGGCAAGCGGCTCATCACATGTCGTGCTTGCCAAACCCTTGTAATTTGTGCGGCTCGGGCCTAGGGGTGACGATCTCGGCTAGGTACGATCTCGGCTTGTGCCGTTCTTACACCCTGTGACCCTGTAGCAGGTGAATCATGGTGAATCCTTTCCATGCACAGAGTTGAGCCACTCAAAACCCGTGCCCAACAGGTCAAGGATCTCATAATTTGACTGGATTTGGTCATAGAGAAACCCTGATCAAAAAGTCAAGGAACAGGTGAAAACTGCAGTCCGACTGGACTTCGTTGAGACTTCCACATGCCCCGGCCGCCATATGTATCGTCGCTTCAGCGTCCACCTCTTCGTCGTCCAGGTCGACCTCTCCACCGCCGCGCCTTGGCGCATCAAAGGGTTGGTGGAGAACATCTTGCAGGTCCGTACTCCGCCACGAGGGAAGTGCACCTCGAACGGTGTGAAGAGGCCGTGGAGGGAGATGACCCGGTCAAACGCTGTTGAAGAGGTAAGAGTCAAAGGTCGGGTAACAGTCACAGGAGCTGGTAGCGATGAGAAGGGTTGTAAGAAAAAGTGCCGGGAGAGATCGGGAGAGGAGATCGTCTGGAGATCATTTTGTGGTCAAATGGCGAGGTCTTATCATTCAAGTTGAGGCCGTTGGGTTTGAACCGTTTTATCCATGACACACCGGTCACTGGTCCGGTTGCAGGTCAGCCAAATCTTCCATGCTGAACCCTGCGGAAGGGAAGTCCGATCGGCGGATGACCGATCAAAAGGCCAACCCAAGACCGAAACTTCTTGGGTCCTTCGCGGATGGAGGCCATCGCTAGTGGGTTGGAGGCCATCGCTACTTAGGTTGGAGGCCATGGCTATTAGGTTGGATGCCATCGCTATTTGGGTTGGATGCCAACGCTAGTAGGTTGGAGGCCATCGCATTAGGTTGGAGGCCATTGGTATTAGGTCGGAGGCCATTGGTATTAGGCTGGAGGCCATTGCTAATCAGGCTGGCACAGTGACAGTGGAATGACATGGTGTCAAAGAGCTGGCCCAAAGTGCATCGACTCGGACTAGTGACCTGCCCTGCAGCCAACTCTCGCCCTGACAATGGATCTTCCAGGTGGTTGCTATGTTAGGGACTGGGGTGGGATAAAGGATTTAAAAACAATGTGTCAGAGCTTGTAACCAGAGTTTGTGTCACCAATTGGTGTGAAACTGTGGGACGCAGTCAGGGGGTGGACCCAACAGTGCCCGTACAACAATTGACCAATTCTTGCTACAATTCAACCATGAAAACCCTTCCAACTTCAACCATGAAAGTGAAAAAGCGCACATCAACGTCATGAGCCCCATCAGCTTCATCCCATGCAGCTTCAAGCTCCATCGTTCCACATCAACTTCTCCAAGCCGCAGCCCAGGACTCTCGTCCAGAGTTCCAGTAAATGTCTGGAGAGCCTTGGTACTCATTCGCTAGTCACCAGGCGGGAACACCATGGCAACCGCGGCAGCTCTGGTGGCGGTGCCGGTTTGGAGGGGTGGTCATTGATCTCCAGGGGCCCAATGGACCCCTATATTCGTCTGATCCAATGATTGGACTGCACCCTGGGTCCTGAAAATGCAATGGCCTATACGACGTCTAGAGTGTTTACGAAACTGTCTGTCTGCCTGTCTGCCTGCCTGCCTGTCTGTCTGTGTCTCTGTCCTGCCCGCCTGCCTGTTTCTCCCTCTCTCTCTTCACTCTCTCTCTCTCCCAAACTCTGATGCTTTTGATGTTTCGGTGGATCGATTTCGCTCTGGGGGGGCTTGAGACCAGACATGCTTCCTCACTCCCTCGTGCCGCGCCACCGCTCTGCAACACACTCCGCGCCCGGCGCGGTGCCGGGTGCTGGTCAGCCGCCATGGGTGTGGCTGCCGGTGATGCACCATGGAAGAACACGAGCCAACACCGCAGTCACCAGAAGCAACGAATCCAACAAGCTTGATTCCAACAGCACATTTGACATGATCTTGGGCTCTATACTGCTTGGTAGGTCTTGATGCTTTTTGAGGGGACAAGGAAAGCTGAACTCTTCACTGAACTATGCCTTTTCGAGGTTGAAGGGGAAGATGCCGCTGGTCCGAAAACCCACACTAGCTCATACTAACTGTGCTTCACGACATCTTCTGTCAACAAGGATTCGTTCGCTACGTACTTCGCCCAAATGTGCACGGCTGCCGATGAACAGTTGGTTTTTGGGCCGATGGCTGAGCAGATTATAAGTGAAAGGCCCACGGCAATCACAACATCCAGTCCTGGTGGAGTGGATCTGATGACTTTTGCCATGTCAACCAGTATGACTCTATGTCGGGCGTCCAAAAAGCGCCTGAAGAAAGAAACACATGTCCATCAAGGGGGTTCACCATGGTTCACCCTGTTCGGGACAATAGGTTCAGCACCCATTCTCCGCCGTTCACCCAGCGACCCTGAAGTTGAGCCCGGGGAGTTCAAAGGGGCTGAGGGCTGAAGATGACTGAAGGAATCCTACAGACGCTACCCAGAACGTCCAATGACTCATGAACGACCCGACCCGGAAAGTCATAATGGACCACTGACTCAGTTCGGGGTAGTTCATGAGTCATTCTCCTGGACTCTCAGGGCTACTCTGTGCTGCCATCTGCCGAAGTCAGCGAAGTAAGCCAGATTCAGGATTCTTCCGTCAGCAAAGGATTGACTGGCTTGAAGATGCTCAGTTCTCAGCGCACCCACTTTCAGTTGCTTGAAGGAAGGATCGTTTCATGCCCTTTTCAGATCCTCTCAGAAGGTGATTTGTGGGATGTCGTTTGATTTCAGGTGGCTTGCCGGGCTCCAATGACCTTCTCATGCCAGGTCTTTTGATCGATCACATATCGATCATTACAATGGCCTATGCTAGCAACTTCTTCCCTTCCAAGTCAAATGCGAAGGTGTGATAGCTACTGTTTCACACTCGTTCCGACCCTACCAAGCAGTGTTTTGCCCCAACTCCAACCAAATCTCGATCCCAAATCTCAATGAGCTTTGTTCCCACCGCGATCCATCCCACCGCGATCACCACATGAACGGCCTATTGACCTACCTTGGGGGTGGTTTCGGAGGTCAAAGTAAGCATATAACCTTGGGTCTAACAATGAAGGCCAGGTCGACATCTCTAATGGATGATCGAACCATCTCGTTGATCGATTCAATTCTTCCTGGAACCTAAAGACACCACCTCCCCAAAATGTGGGGTGTGGAAGCACACAGATCACTGTGTCACTGGGCACCAGGACCTTCAAAGTGACCGTCCTTGAGATCCTAGTGGCTGAGGTCACGACTCGTCCCTAAAGAGGTCACAAACAGAGACTCCAAAGAGGTCACGTCCTGAAGGTCCTGGTATACTTGTCAATGTGACCACGGCGTCTTTGGACTTCGACTTATCACCCTTGAAGAACGGTCCTCCTTGCCCCCACCAAGGCCCATCCAGGCCCGAAGCACACCAGCCGGTTCCTCCTTCCCTTCGGGCCAGGCATCGAAGCGCACCAAGTGTCGACGGGCGTTCGGACGTGGAGAGAGCCACTGCGATCAGATCGGGAACTATGCGAAAGGGCGGACCTCGGAGGTTCTAGGGGCAGGGGGGACCCCGGCGCAGGGACCGGGTGGAGGCCGGCTGGAAGAAAAGTAGAAAACAACACAATCCATCACAATCCCAATTTATCCCAAATAGCCTCTGTCTGAGGTTACTTTTTCAGGGCGTCCTTTCAACCACCGAACTTGCTTTCGGTCCTGGTCAATACAAGTTAGAGTTAGAGCAATATGTCCCCAATCTATAGGTACGACCTGTCTGGCAGTCCTGGCAATCCTGACTTCCTCCACGAGAAACACCGGTGAGTTGATGTATTCCAGTCAATGGGGTCGACGTACTCCAGGCCGATGGTCTGGGGGGCAATGAACAACCGAGCTCCTAAGAGGTCTCCCAAAATCGAACCTGCTTCGATTGCAAGAAGACTCCCCACATCTCCGAGGTAAGCAGGGATCCAGTCGTACCGACCTCAGGTTAGGTATGACTGGACCCGACGTTTTGGCACCTACATCACAGTGTCGAACACATCACCTAACCTGAGAAGGCATTTGGATCCCTAGGGTTTTGTACTTAGCTTTCCACCCCGTGGAATAACGCTCAAAGGTCTCAGCCTTGTGCCTTGTCCCGTGGGTTTTGATCGGCTTCTAGACGTGTCCAAAGCCACCTTCCCCGCAGTTGAACGATACGTGGAGTTCACCCCCTTGCTTGGTCGAGGATCCTTTTGGTCTTTCCAGGTGGCCGTTCTGCAGGAACCCGTTGGGAGGATGGCCAAATGCAGTTATTTGGACCCACAATGCCCAAACGCGACCCATGGGACTGCCATGTCGGACTGCCGAGAAACGGCCAGGGGGTGGTGGTGCCAGGGGGGTCTTTCTGGGTCGGCACATGTGCCAGTCCCATTGGGGACACATCCAAAGCCCACCAACATCCTCCCAACTCGTCGTCCCGTCCTCGCGAAAACAAAAGGCAACGACGGATCACGAAAAATCGGCGTCGTGACGACGTCGCGACTCGTGGCCGGTCCATGGTCTCAGGATCCGGGTCTAGCGGGGATTACAACCCTATATGGATCCACATACCTTCTCAGAAGGCGTCCTTGGACCCTCCTGGCGCCTACATAAGAGTGTCGAACACATCACCTCAGAAGGTATGTGGATCCATAGGGTCAAAGAGTTCTACCATGGGTGATAAGACAAGTCGTGTTCTACCATGGGTCCAGTCCACTTTGGGTCACTTCAGTTTCCGGTTCTGAACATGTCCTCACCTGATTCTTCCTTTCTCAACTTGAACTCCCAACATTGGTGCCTTAGCTTCCGACGAACACATCACATGGACGTGGAACATGATCCATTGGAAGATTACTTGTGTAGCAACAGGGCGTGTTCCGCTTCCATGTTAGTGCGTCAGAGTGTTGCTTCCAGCGAAGGCATCAGAATGAAGTGGAGGGAATCACATCCCCCACAGGGGCGTTGAGCCATGCACTTCCATGTGTGTTTGTCGGAGGTTGCACTCTCAAGAAACTAAACTGAAGCTGGAAAGGTGCTCTGGAATATTTGCAAACAGGTGTTTGTGTCCGTTGATGGTATAATATGGTATATTTTTCGATCCATCTCGAAGCTCCTATAGCATATATAGGAATTTTCCCCTGCACTCATTTGATCCAAATCGCGGCCTTTGGGAGGTTTGGATGATTTTTCGTTACGTCGTGCTTGCAGGGCCACTGGGGAGAGCGTTTTGGATGAGTTTTTATGTTTTGGGGTGGTTGCTGCGTTGATTCTTGCGGGGCACTGGGGAGAGCGTTTTGGAGGTGTATTTTTGGATGGCTTTTGGCAATGCCGAAAATGTATCACCATTATGGCCTCCAAGGTAGACGAAGTTGGCCCCAAGATCGCTCGAACGCAGCCGTAAGACAGCCAACCTGGCGCCATTTTCGCGCGTGCGTGGCTATAGTTGAGCTGCAGGGCCACTGGGGAGAGCGTTCTGGAGGTACATTTTTTGATGATCTTTCGTTACGTCGTGCTTGCAGGGCCACTGAGGAGAGCGTTTTGGAGGAGTTTTTGTGTTCTGGGGTGGTTGCTGCGTTGATTCTTGCTCGGCTGCAGGGCCACTGGGGCAGCGTTTTGGAGGTGTATTTTTAGATGGCTTTTGGCAATGCCGAAGTTGTATCACCATTGTGGGCCCCAAGGTAGACGAAGTTAGTCTCAAGATGGCTCCAACGCAGCCGTAAGACAGCCAACCTGGCGCCTAGATGGCTGCACTTGTCCCCCAATTGGAGCCAAAATAGTTCGCAGAAGCTCACTTAAAATCCTGGTCCTGCTGGGGGTATGGGCCCCAAGGTAGACGAAGTTGGCCTCAAGATGGCTCCAACACAGCCATAAGACAGCCAACCTGGCGCCTAGATGGCTGCACTTGTCCCCCATTTGGAGCCAAAGTAGTTCGCAGAAGCTCACTTAAAATCCTGGTCCTGCTGGGGGAGGGCCTCTGACAGATAGCTTCAACGCCGACGTTGTCTTACCCAAGCTGATCGCCTGAGTCTGCGAAACTTGGCCTGAGTCTGGGCTCAAAATGCTGCTGCACACGCAAACATGGCTCTTGCATTCCATGCTCGCAAATTCTCTTTTTGGCCAACATACCTACGCATGCCCAAGTGTATCCTAGCTTAACCTAGTTTCCACCGGACTCATCTTCGGCTCTTTTGTTTTTGTATCCACAGCAGCCTCTAAACTCTTGCGCTCGCGCTTGAACTTGCGTCTCCAAAGAATGCACACAGCAGCTTTCAAAGCTAGCGCTTTATGCAGAGCTTGCGTCGGTCTGCGCGTACCGACACCTGGCAGTCCTCTACTCTTCGTTCTCATTCGCGACCCCCATCCCAAGATCTTCTTCACCTTCATGTTCACTCCTGCCGCAGCCGCAAGCAGCAGCACACAATGCTCCCCACACCCAGGATGAGGGGGACTTGTCTCCATTGTCGTGCTTCAAACCTTCCCGGCTCGTGGCCCAGTACATGAGAATCTCGCTCCCTTCTTCCAGTAAAGATTCATCTTCTGAATCTGGCCCATGGATAGTGATAGGCACTGCAACTTCCTGCTGGTTCACCAAGAGAAAGCTTCGTCTCGGATACCCACTGTTCGATACCAGGCGTGCCACATATCCTCGAAGCACCGCATTGAGGCACAGCTTGAGCGTGCTGAAGTCTGAAATCGCAAACGACTCTTCCGGCCGGATGCTACGGTAACATTCCCAAACCCCTTCACATCCACTGAGCTTCCTGGCACAGTCTGCACCTTAACCACCCGCTTCGGATGGTCACAGATCTGAATCACCTTCACCCCTTTCACGTTCACCTGAAGGGAAACTTTCACGTTCACCTGAAGGGAAAGTGTTCTCCGTCGAATCGTACTTCTCGATGCCCTTCATCGTTCAAAGCCCTCCATGAACTCACATGGATCACAGCACCCTGGTCAGCTACAATCATCGAAATCACCTCTTGCGCACTGCCTTGTTTTCCTGGAATCACTTTCGGTCCTTCCATGTGGATCACAAACCCTGTGAAAGTCACCAGACCTTCTTTCTGTGCGCTGAATACATCTGCGATGCTGGTGCACTCTGCTTTGGTGTGAGAGATTGACCTTCTTTTCTTTGGTGTTGCTCCTGCAGCTCCAGCACTTCCTGCGTCCGTCGGCCTCTTCTCTGGAGATGTTGCTCCCTCCCGGCCAGCTCTTTTCTTTGGTGTTGCTCCTGCAACTCCTGCACTTCCTGCGTGCGGCAGACTTGGGCCTGCAGGCGGGCCGCTGCCGCTTGCCTCAGCCGAGGAGGCGTTTGGCTGGGCCAGCACTGCCATCAGTGCGCACAGCAGCAACCACCAGCGCATCATCATGGCTGGGCTGTCGGACTGAGACTCAGAGTAAGTAAGCAGGCTTAGAACTGAGAACCGGCTGCGGCGGCAAAATTTAAATCTAAATTCTCAGAAGGAAACGTCAACGCACGGTATGCTTGGACTTCTCCCTTAAGGGCAGGAGACACGGCCTCCTTCCTGAGGGAGAGTTTGATAAAATAAGGAGACGCCCATGTCGCAACATAGTCCTGCTCCTTGTGATCATGCCGCCAAGGAGACACCCGCCTCCTTCGGCCGCCTTCCCGCATTTTTTTTTGGGCTCTCTAAATTTTGCTGCACCCCTTTTCAGAGAAGACAGACGTACTTTCTTCTGCATACAGCAGGAGACACGCGCCTGCTTATTTTACGATACAAATTTGCAAACATGGTCCCATGCGAAACACTTTTACTTCCTCTTTCTCTTCGCATCTGACCCTCCTTCACTTCTGACTTAGGAATCACAAACCTCCTTTATTACAGCCTCACCCCGTGAAGCTCCATTTCACTACTGTAACTTCGGCTGTTCGTGCGCGGTGTGGGCGGCTATCGACGCGAAGCGTCTTGAATAAAGGGTTTCCTAGCCAGGTGTAAGTACAAATCAACCAAAGAGTTTATTAGCATTTACTGATCGCATCTAGGATGCATACTGTAGCACGGCGTCTTCTATAAGTACAGTACGTCGATGAAGCACCAACCAGAAGATGACGCACCTCCAAAAACCCAAGGCACTGAAGTTCAGATTGCTCTGTTCGTAGGTGCCTAAGCTCGGCGCTGGCGAACTCGTGGCGTTGAGATGTGCAAAGGGGTGGCTTTGGAGACCTGAGTGGAGATTGGGCACTCCTATCGTTGAAGGAGTCCACCCTTGCAGAGCAGAAGACAAAAAGCAAAAGGCGACTGTCGTAGTTGCATTTGACCACTGCTGGGTGTGGAGTTCCGTGATTAGCGCAATTGGAAGAAGAGTTGTAGTAATCCGTAGGTGCCAATTTGTTCACACCTTGCACCTTAAAACAGCTGGAAATTCGATCCCAACGTTCTGTTTGCTTTTGTGTCCATATGTGTTCACACAAAACGTGCCATGTTCTTCGGTGGGTCATCCTATCCAAATCTGAACTCAGAAGGTACTTGGACCCTCCAAACCCACCCCAAACACCTTCTCAGAAGTTTACGTGGAGGCCTAGGGATAATAAAACACAACAAAGCACCCACGCCCTTGCAGAAATGAAATCACCTCGATGGCGCCACTTTAAGGCCACAAAGCCTTAAGGTGGCGCCAGGTGGGCGTAGCCAGTCAGGTGGGTTCCACCGCACACCCGCCGTAACGCCTCACCCTGTCGCGGAAGGCCAAGGGGCCAAATTCAGCTTAAAACCTCAACCTGAGATGTCACGCATGGGGCTTCAGCCGGGTGGCGGAGTGTGATAGCCATGAGGTGGCGGGGCGGTTGAACAAGGTAGGAACAGAACCTCCCCGAGCTCCAACGGACGGGAACGTCATCCCAACTGAGTCCGGTACCGGCGACGGATCTGGTCATGAACCATGCAAACAAATGCCCTAGGCTTCCAACAACCATTAATTTATTAGGCTTTATGGAATCAACTGAGGATTTTACACTACAAAAACCAGGTCAACCATTTTTTAAATGGTCTTGGAAGTCTAGGGAATGGTTAATGGTTAAAGCACAAACAACACATGTTTCATTTCGTAGATCACTCTGCTCTCCTTAATGTTTCAGAAGCCAGTCTTTAGCAAACAACGTGTTCAACTTGATTGTCTTCTGGGACGTTGAGACGGATTGAGATGTTCTGCCTAATCATGCGTGTCTATTGCTGGCCTGAGGCTATGCAATATTGATTTAAAGGTTACAGGAAGCTGTGCTCCCAGCTGTCCCTTCAGAAGTGCAGAAGTAACCCCCCCAAAAAAAACACTATATAAAGAGTCGTCTCAAATCCCAAGAGAAGTCGTCCCAAAAACGATCTTTTGCTGGCTGAATTCCTTCCCCCTCCTCCGGACCCATCGCCCCGCCTTCCGCCCGATCGATCGCTCACAGATGGTCAACGCCGAGCCGCTCGGATGGTCAAAGAGCCCGACGGGTCGACCAAGGATCGCCAGTCGGAGGCCAATTCGCACACCTCGCCGCGGGGCGCAGGAACCCGTGTCACGGGGGGACCCGTGGGGGTTGCGGGGACTGGAAAATGGGTCAGCGCAGCGGAACGGTCCCGTCCCTGTTTTCCGATGCAACACATGCACTAGCTGGGTGGGATTGGCGGAGGCCGGTGGGGGCCGGGGGGGGCGGTGATTTCATCCATGGAGCATCCGGGATATGCAATGGGTGGGTTGGAGTGTGTCCAAGTGAGGAGAGAAGGACGGGTTCGGAATGAGTAGAAATCAACTAGACATCCTAGATGAAGGCTTAATAGGGCATCTAACTGGCTTTCCTTCACTTGATGTCCTCCAAACAGCTATTATTGAGCAGCCACATCATCCTGCAATCCAAAAAACAGGATTGCTTCTTGATGTTTGGAGGATAAGTCTATAAGTAAAGTAACTACTTAAGCAAAATAGGCACCATTGGATCCTGCTTGCCTTCACCATCCTTCACCTTCCGGGCCTTGGAAACGACATCCACGCACCCACCCCACCCATGGCACCCACCCCCATGGCACCCCCGTCCTGTGAGGTGCAATGTTCTGAGCAGGCCGTGAAAGGGCCGAGCTGACGAGTGTCAGCGACCTTGGCGGAGGACTAGTCCTCCGTGGTCAAGCCGGGAACCCGTGGGTTACACGCCCTGGAACTAACATGGAAGTGGAGAATGGCCCCTTGGGAAGACCAGTTTCCACTACAAACAGGTGGTGCCATCCACTTCCATAGTTCCAGGGAGAGTAGCGGAAGACACACGCGAGACTCACACGACGCATGGGAGCTCTGGATCGAAATCGACCTGGTGCCACCCCGGGTCATGTTCGAAGAGAGCTTCTCAGTCCGCTACTGTCCATGGCAAACAGGATTTGAAGTGGGTGTGTTGAAAAAGCCCCCCACGCCAAACGCCAGTCGCTTGGGACTCTTTCTTCATCTTTCTTCAATCGGTTCACACAGACTTCTGAACATGGATAACAAATGATAACAACATTTCCCCAAACAACTCACGCGTTTGTTGGCATTCTGCATGTTCCACAATATGCTATATATGCACTAAAAAAGGTAAAACACATTACAGTTGTTTTGCCACAAATAAACCTGGTCCTTGATTTCACACCTTACTGCCGCCCCAACTTGCTTCCTTTCCTGAGTGCTGAGTGGGCCTGGAAATGCATGGAAATGCGTTCTTAAACGGATCATCCCTTGCATTCATAAACCCCACAGTCCAGCTCAGATTGAAAAAGAAAAACGCGCACCAATTCCACAACAAAGTACCCTTTCACAGGCCCTTTCACTGCTGTCCCCTGGTTGGGTGAAACTGCACCTTTCCTTCCCGCCGTCGCGAACGCGACGGACGGCGCCTGGAAGAAGAGTGTGACTTCCTGCACCTGACCGACGAGGCGGTCCACGAGCGCTCCGAGCACTCCACTAGCGGTCCATCATCCATGATTTGCTGTGCCCATCATCCCCGCCCCCCCCATAAAAACATGGTTGGGCAACATCTGCATGTTGCTTCCCTCAAACCGGTGAAGATTGGCGTAAAACTCAGGTGAGAGGATTTTTGGATGGCTGCGCTACAAAAACCATACCCCCTGAGACCACACAGTGAAGGACCAAACTTCAGTCATGCAGCTGTTCATTCATCGCTGTGTGCTTACTTTCCACCTTCCTGCCGCAAAGCACCATCACTCTTCCTGGCTTTACCGCCCAGACCCAACCAGCATAAATTGTGAAAATGCGGACTCCTCCCGGCAGACTAGTCCTGCTTCACCCGCGCGCACGTGTTACGCGCACGTGTTACACGCACGTGTTACGCGCATCGCGGAAGGTGTTACCGCGCGCGGCCAAGGCACGGTGGGTTGATCTCCAAATTTCAGCTGTAAAGACCCGAAGCGCGGGGCTTTCGGCCAACCCTGGCAAGTGTAGATGGGTTTGGGAGGGCTGGGGAGAATGCTAACCGTGCTGGAGACATGTCATGATCCAACAATGAAGCAACGGTCTTGCACCAAAATGTGTCAATACAAACTCAAAAAAGAACTCAAGCAACAAGCAAAGTTCAGGTGTGGTCGGGGCCTGGATTTGTGACCCGAGGGCTTGGTTCCGTGGCATCGGAGTGCCACATCGGTTCGAAAAGGGCCCAATTCCATCGTCGTATGTGGAATGTATCCCAGACACTCCATGTATGGCATATTTACCTACATTCACCCCAATGTATGTAAATATGCCGTACATGGAGTGTCTGGGTATTGGGCTCCTAGAATCTGAGAACTTGTGTCTTCCCTGGGCTTGCCCGTCTTTTGGGCAATGCCTTCACTGCTTCCACCTAGCTGTTTACTCGTGGCTCAAGCTCTAGACTGCTGCCGCGTGCGAAGCACCCTGTGGGCGAGGCGTGTGAAGCACTGCTTGGGGAACTGGCCAAACTCCACTGCTGGGCACCAAAAGCAAAAACCTTAAGCCAGCCCTCCTAGGGATCCGAGCTGGAATAAGGCATGCGTTTAGCCCATGACAACTACCCTCATGATTCTCAGGTTAGGTAAGGACGGAGACACTGTTATGTAGGTTTAGAGGGCCCAATCACCTTCTGAGAAGGGGCTTGGATCCCTAGGGAATCATGGCCAAACTCCTCACTCGTGGCGCTTGCGCCATCGCGCTTGGATTTGCATAACGCTGTGCCTTTAGTGGGACATGGCAGCAATGCAATGCTTGAAAGCGATCCTGGGCATCTGTTCAAGCTGTTCTTGCTTTTTTTTGGTTGCCCTTCAATTCAGCCTCTTCCACCAATGCCCCCGTCGAGAGTCGATCGTCCAGCTGATTGGACTTGGTGTTCTCTCCGACTCGAAGAAGGACTTCGTTAATTTCTGTCCGAACCCCTAAGTATCTGATGGCTCAGTTCAAAGGCTTCCAATCAGGAACATTTACGCGGATCCGGCGGGGCCCAAATGTCCTGCAGTACTTGTTGAAGGGGGAACCCTCGTGATGTAGACGCTTGATTATAAAGCTCCAGCTCTTGGGGCTCTCGTTGTGGTCAGCCTGCCTAAAAAGAATCCGGGTGAGGGATGATCCACACCGATTTAGTCCAATCCTCATACTTACTCGAAGGACCCTTCGAACTTGGAACCTGGCCTGTGGGATTTTCCGAGATGAGCCACTGACTGCGTGAGAGTCACATCCAGTGATGAGCGTGGAATCAACATGAATCAACATGAGTCTTCGAATAATATCCCGCTCGGCAGCACATGCCGCCGGCGAGGCCAAAACGAAGAGTTCTGTCGTCCAAAATTTGGGCAAAAGGAGCCAACTTCTTCCCTAAGGGTCCAGGACCATCCGAATCGGATGTCCTTTGGCCCAAAAAAGGACCATTCTCTGGAAGTACAAATTCACCTCTAAGACCATCCGAAGTACGGAGATACCTGGACCCTATAGGTCCTCAACAAGCTCTCCAGTGAGCTGAGCTACTCCAATCCCATTGCGGACCAGGTGAGCTCGACGAGCTCGTCATCGTGGGATGTGACGAGCTCTGGATGCTTCGGCCGAGCTGCCTTTTCCAAAGCGATTTGGGTGAACAGCAGCCTACCAAGCCTACCCAGCACCTCCAAATACCGTCTGAGAAGGTGCTTTTGGGACATGGAGGGTCCACATACCTTCTGACTTCTGACAAGGTACGACTGGAGCCCTAAAGCTAGGATCGAAAGCAGGAAATAGGCTCTCAAGGCCGGTCTTTTGTTGTCCTTTCTAAACCCGAAGGACTAAGGGATACTAAGGGTCTGGTGAACCACGCCAGAGAACTGCAAATTCGATAAGGAACCCTGAGCAAAATAAGGAAACACCATCCCAAAGGGTGGACTTTGTGAGGGCGGTGACTGTCAACTGGTCACCCCAAGACCCCACTGCAAAACACATCCAAAAACGAACCAATCACCAATGGGGGCCGTGGACAATGTCTGCTAGGCACCACCCAAAAGAGATCCAAACAGTTTGATATGAACAGAAGTTAAGGACATCCCTAGGCTTCCAACAACTATTAATTTCATAGGCTGAATCCCGAATCAACTATATAAGGATTTTACACGACGGATCATCCCAGATCGTTCACCCATGTTTTTTTCATGGTCAAACGGAAGTCTAAAAACATCGAACACCATCAGCTGAACCTTCCGAACCTTCCGAACAACACGAACTCCGTGTTCCACCGACCGATCTGGGCGATCCGTTTCCGAAGTCCTTGCCCCAACTGGAAATCGGCCCCCACGCCCCCACCGCCCCATCGCCGGCGGTGGGTGGCTCGGAGTCCGTGTCCTCGCCCCCCGGGGTCGTCCTTGCTTTTCTCCTCCTTCTTCTTCATCTTCTTGTCTTTGGGCTGCGCGTTGGCCCAACTCTCCCCCGGCGAGAAAATCCTGAAGGAGTTCACGAGGTCCGACCGAACGAGTCGAGGATGGAGGCGGAAGCAAGCCGAAATCCGAGCAACAGAGGTGGACAGTGACCGTAAATAGGACCCTACTGGGGCACCTGGGGTGGTTTTTAGTCCCTAAATGTGAGTGAATGTTGCGGGCACCCCTATCCTCCAAGTTCGGCACCCCTGTGACTCCTGGAGAAAGATGCGAATTGGATGTATGTGGCCAAATGGTCTGGGAAGGAAATTGGATGAACATTTGGATCTGTTTCTGGAGAAATCTTTCTCTCTCTCTCTCTCCCTCTCTCTTCGGGCATGGTTCCCTGCCGTCGATTCTGGACAATCTGTCCCAGTTTTCCTGTGACGTGACTTGAATGATTCAAGGGACATCGCGTTGGTGCTCCCACCAGATTTTTGGGTGTCTGCTAGGGATGTGGCGACATGTGAGGTGGTCAGCCTGTGTCAGTCCATAGATTTTGATTGGACTTGCCACCGTTGTCTGGTTGGTGGTTTCAGCTCATTTGAAAATATTTGTCAGTGAATTCGATGATCGAACATAAACATATCTGAAGCCACCACCCAGTTGCTTGTTTTGGGCGGAGCAAGCTGACAGTCCCCGAAGTTGAGATACGTCATTCTGGCTCTCAAAAGGTCACTTTGCAGGTCCTAGCTGCCGTAGCCTCTTTCAAAAGAGTCAACTTTATCTGTGTTTGAGATGTCTGGTCCCACAAATGAGTTTTTCATTCTCAAGAGAAAACATGCTCTACAAAGGAACCAAAGCGAGAGAATTCACATCATCAATTTCGGGAACATCACATTCTCCTCTTCAAGGGTCACCTACCGGGCTAAACTTTAAAGCTCCCTTCTCTCAACATCAGCATCGCACTGAGAAAAGATAACAAGTGCCCAAACCTATCATCCTTACACTGCCATACACCAATTCTTGCATTTGGTTAACGAACCAAATGCTTTTGACTTCTGCTCTCGAAGGCCGAAGGTGACCAGTGGCCGCACTTGCAAATGAAGAGCAAATGACTCAAATGACATGAATTCGTGGTTGGGTTGTAGAACCAACGCCCCCATTGATCAGCACAATCTTGCCATGGAATGTCTGGCGTCTTCAGATCAGGGATCACGGTGTAAATCAAACAAAAGAATTAAGAACCTTTCCCGAAACGTTCGGTTTTACTAAATCCAACTTAAGTACGGAATTTCAGCACCCCCAAGAAACCATGGAAAAGACCCTTCCATCAGCTCGTCCGCTTGGAATTCCACACCGCTCCGTCCGCTCCGTTCGTTTTGTACCGATTTCTGCGTTCCAGCACCCCCCCGGCAGCGACACCAACCGCAGGCAGCCCAGCGGCACACGCAAACCTTCCAAGCCTGGCGTGGTGGTTTTGACGAAAGTCACCGGGGGTACCTCAACCCTAGGATTCCAAGAACCATTGAATTGAGGGTCTTTACCCAAGAACCTTTGTTTTACTAAGGATTCTACAATACAAAACCCGCTCAACCGTTGCTTTAAAGGTCTTTGAAGGCTAGGGTCAATGATTGAACAAACTTCAAAACGTCATATATACCAGGGCCCCTGGTAGAAGGTGGTTCATGGACATTCCTCAACCTCTAAGGAGCTATTTCCTAGACACCCCAAACCGAAGGCCATGGTATAGGTAATTAATCGTGTTTTCAGAGTAGATGGCTCAAACCCCAGGATGTTCTTCAGATTGGGGTCCATATACCAGGACCATCCTGTTGGGTCCTGGCTGGACTACCCCACGCTACCGCACTAGGCTTCCAAACAGGGCGCCCCAACAGGATGGTCCAGGTAGAGTGAAGGTGATGTGGGGGTGGAGCTGTATACGTCCCAACCCTTCCGACGCAGGACTGGAACAGGCACAGGCTCCATCGGGTCCGAACCCACCAACGGCTTCTAGCTTGACCACCCCGACACCGAGACACCCCAGCTTGACCACACCAACACCAACACACCAGCCGAAACGAGTCGGACCGAAGCGCTTCGGTTCGGTGGGACGACCGGGGCCCGGGTGCCATGTTCGGGTCCAGTACATACCGAACCTAAGGAGGTACGACTGGAGGTGCTGGGAAACACCGAACCTCAACGAACGAACGTCGGTGACGAAGGTCGGGGGGCCTCCTGCTGAGAATGGCGGTGACACCAGGGCGCAGCCGCAGCTGCCTTTGAACTTGGCATTTGGGTTCCTGAATCCGAACCATCGATCTCCCCGCTTTCCCGCGAGGCACGTGGAAACGGGCACCTCCGGTCGTCTTCGAACGCGCCGGAGGAGATGCTTGTGGAGGGAGATGGGTGGAGGGATCTGGCAGGTGGAGACATCTGCTGATGGTGCCCATTGAGGCTGTCGACAAGACATGTCGCAGGTAGGTGCCCGAGGGTGCTCGAAAACGGGTATGCTGGGCTGACATGTTCGGACCGTTTCAAGTCTTGCGACAGCCGTGGGTAGGACATCAAGCTTTCCCGTCCGGGAGGTCCTGGCTGATCGGCTGCCTGGGCCTTCAGCCATATATATATGCATGCATGTGGGTACTTGAATTAAAGAGCAACTCATGATGCCAAGGAGAACCTACAAACCAAAAAACATGCCAAGCAAAAGTGAAGCAAACTAGGTACTCAGAAATAAAACATCCTTATTATATAAACTGTGTGCTGCTACCATCTTGGCGATCCTTGGTACCTCAACTGGAACAAAAGACTATTTTTCCCGCTGATCTAAGCTCAGCAGTGCAAAGATCGTGCTCTTTCAATTTAAATTCTTCCTCAAGAAACCATGTCAAAGCTATCTTGCACTCAAGGTGCATGTCATGGTGGTCCGGACCACCTTCTATATCTTTGCCACGCTCCTTAAGTACTTTGACTCCTATCCATTCCATTGGCTCAGCATCCAACCAACGGCTCTGAACGTCTACGACCCGACGGGCGAGGTTAGACGTCTGCGTCTGCCGGGGGGGCAACGCACATTTAGTTAGGTACCAATTGGATGCTGTACCAAAAGAGGTTGAGTGGGGTACCTAGCTAAACAAATACACTATATGGCATTAGTTGGTTTAGTGAGGTACCCTGTGTGGATACCTATTTTAAATAGCGGTCCTTCAACCTCTGTTGGCAGCTTCAAGACCGATATCCATGGGATATCCTTGGCTTACTCTGAGGTGCGATGAACACATGCCTCTTTTTCGAACACCAGTCAGTCTGAGAAGAAAGAAATTCATCCCTAACAGGTCAAACTCACTAACATGGAAGTGGAAAATGGCGCCTTGGAAGACCATGTTCCTTTACAAACACAGGATTTTCCACTTCCATGTTAGTCAGTCAGAGTGTAACAGGTCAAGGGCCTTGTTTCACTGCATCCCGTCAAGCCAAAGACATGACTCAAACTTGGACTCGTCGGGCATTGTCCGGTGTGTCACTGGGCATGGTCCTGTCATTCCCCCCCCAAAAAAACACCTCCTGCCGCCGTACCCACCACACGACGGATGCTTTGGCCCTTCCTCCTGCCACGCGGTTCCTCTGTTGGACCTTCCAGGTCCGACCCGTCTGACGGTTCTGGCGCCATGTTCCAATCAATCAGCTTCTCCATGCCGCGTTCTCGCCGAACCGCTTGACTCCATGGATTCCATTCCGGAACCCGGCTAGTCTCCCACTCCCAAAACACGAGGGCAAAGGCCATGTGGGGTTGGATCATCCGAAGGCGAAGCTTCCGTCCAGTGCTGGAGGGCGCCACGCCGCCGCGACGGCCTCCCTCATGCAGTCGGCGCGACAAACGAGGCGGCCCCCGTCTCGAACATGGAAGCTTCCCCCTCTCGACCCGCTTCTTCAAAGTGAGCAAAAAGAGGGTGAACCACTGTCCCTACACCTCCAGTTGTACCTCCTGGCACCCCAGTCCCACCTTCTCAGAAGGTACGACTGGAGGCCTAGACTGTGTGACATTGTGTGACCATTCGAGGCTTTGTTTTTTGAGTGACGGAAGCAACGGTGATCTCACAGGGAGCCACTTTCAAGAACCAGGTCGGCGGGTGTGAATCTCCAAACATAAACCCCGGGAGTCCAGTCGACTATAAAAAGAATGGTCTTGAAAGGGGACCTGAGTTCGGGAACTTCCTTTACTTCAGCCGGTCAAAACATAGTCGAACTGGACTTCCAGGCTAAACCAAACGAAAACATCTCCGATCCCAAAGACGGACTGTACCAGTTGACCTACACAGGGCTGCTTGAAAAGTGGTCAACATATAGGTCAACATGGTGCCTGAAAAAGAACGGAACAAAAAACACCCAGCTCAGCTGACCGTGTCTGGTCCGACTCGACCTTCGAAGAAACCAGCTCGCTGTCAAGCGTCGTAATGGTCCACTGAAAGCCACCCAGCTCGAGGGGCTCGGCAGGGGGCTCGGTGCTTGATGGCTCACTGGCGCTGGCCTGGTGACACCGGAGGGCTTCGGGAGAACCTTCAGGAGGTTGGTCACCAAATCTCTTGGAGAGGCCTTCAAAGACGAAATCTCATGAGGAAGGATTCCTATATAAGCTTAAAAATCGTCCCTAAAAACGGTGGACCAAACTGATTGAGGCTGAGTTAGTGCAAAAGCAAAGAACTTTTGGGCCAGAAGGTCTTTTGAAAGGAGTTCAGGAGTTCTAATATTATTGGAGGCCACACCTAATAGGAGGGTGTGTGTTACTCCTGTGTGTATACATCAGTTCTTGTCCATACATCGCATAGATGAAGTGTTGTAATATGTTGTAATTAGATCCATTAGTAGCATGTTGCACGTAGCATGCTTTTGGCCACATGAGGTCGATCATGATGCCTGGGATTCCACGTCCCAACACCAGCGTCGTTTTCCCTCCAAGCACCTCAAGTGATCATGACGGATATGCCAGTTTGATGTTTCATGGGGTCGTGCCTCTATTTATGCAGCACGGCCAGCCAGGTGGCCATAGCACTCCAGTCTTTTCCTACAACTTGCTCCTCGGCTTTGTTGAACAGCACTACCCAAACACGTCATGAGACTGGTGATGCCATTCGGGTGGTTTGGGGAATCAGCCTTAGGCATGTCTCCCCCCAGACCCACCCCAATGCACCGAACCTCAGGAAGTAGGCCAGGAGCCCTATGGGTCTACCAGCCCCAGTCCTCAGCGCTACCCCAGAAACGCCCGCCTCCGTCAAGGGCTCTGGAAGCCCTGGTGGGGGTCGGATGCGCAAGGCACCTGAAGGGCGCGGAGTGGAGAGGGGCCGGAGGTGGAGAGGAGAACACAACCCAGAAGCTTCCCCCTCTAGACTCGCTTCTTCAAAGTGAGCAAACTGTGGGTGAACTGGGTGAACCACTGTCCCTACACCTCCAGTTGTACCTCCTCAGGTGCAGTATGACTGGACCCGAACATGGCACCCGGGCCCCGGTCGTCCCAAACCGAAACGAAGGTGCGACTGGATGCCTAGGGCTATGGAAGGTTGAATTGGCTTTGCAGTCTTACCAAATGTCGGCCTGTGGAGCCATCATTGGAGCCTCAGGGATATACTCTCCAACTCACTATATAACATCGAAATGGAAAACCCCCTCTTAGTCACATGATGTTACATGGTTTCTTGGAAAGTGGTCCCTCCAAGAGACCATGCCATCCACTTCAACATAATTCAGCCGCCTTGGCAGCAAAACACATGACATCTCCCAGCGCTCGGGGTGGCTCCCACAGCAACGATAGAAACGAGATCCAATCCACCCCAATTGAGCAAAACCAGGCCAGTGGATGCCTCAGGCAGCCAGGTTTCGCCCGTTTCGCCTGGCTTCACATCTATCGGTTTGGAGCCCGCTCGAAGTGGAATCACGTGTTTTTTCAGTACCAGCGACCTCGTGGTCGAATGATGTCAGATGCCTGGATCTAATGTAGACTCTTGATTAATAAGACCCCGTTATAAAGAAAATGTTCCAATTCAACTGAGTTGATTCATCAAGAGACTACATTAAGGTCAGATGGGGGGGGGGACACGCTGTTTCTGGAGGTCACTCCGATGCTTCAGCTGGTGACGCCGAACCAGCCCGAACCCAAAAGTGTGCCGTCTGCCGGTTGGCTTCCACCGGGTTCCAACTCCGAACCGGTCCATCTGCTGGAGGAGTTCATACTAAGAATCTGATACCAATGCAGGCTGGAGTGTCCTGCAGCTCAGCCAAGAACACCATGGATAAACGATGAAACATATGATATCAATCAGAAAGGTTAGCAGGTTCTCCACTGAGTGCTGTACAGCGAAGGAGCTTCGTGAGAAGAATGTATATAGATCACACGCCATTTCCTCCTTATAGGACTCCCATGACATAGTAGATAGAAATAAACATACCGATAGAAAGGCCCCTTCCAGAGTCATATAGAGGGTGTAGAAATCTATGAACCCCCAGACGCCTATGGAAGAATACAGTAGACCCCAGCCATCTCCACCGTCCACCCGCGCCAAGCGCGGCAAGCGCGGCGACTCTGCTCCCGTCCCAGCCGCTTTCGAGCTGCAACGGCACGCGGACCGTGCGGTGGTCCCGGACCTCTGCCGGTGGAAGGCCTCGGTGCGTCCGAACGTCCCCGGCGGAACGCGAGTCGGCGGAAGGGACGGCGCAACGCACGACGTCCGATCGTTCCGTTCGGTTCGCGAGGCCCTTGGTGATGTTCGGTTCGCTTCTTGTTACTAGTAGTAAGGCCAGGAGCCCAAGACTAGTTTCTGGTTCAGGTGAAGAATGGTGAAGATATAACATCACAAGCACGCAGCGGAGGCAGGACATCAAGCGTTCATGAAATGGTGGATGTCGACATGAAATCGAAGGGCATGGAAACCACTATATGTAGCTTGCGATTGCGCTGGGAGGATAATGATTTGGCACATGTCGACAGGCCATCAACAAGGGGGACTGTTGTGGGGGGTTTGTTGGACCCATCCGGTGTGGTTGGATCACCAACCCCCCCAATCTGGGCATTCCAAGAGAGGTTAAGTGACCTTATAGGACCTTACCTGGGGTACCTATGGGATAGTCTATAGGGTTCTTCAACCTCTGTTGGTTTCTAGATGCTAACACGATGGAATTACAGCTGTTGAGCAAAACTCCAGATCCAACAAAGAATCAAGCTCGACCAACAAGCATGCAAACAACCATGTCTAAGACTGACTCATTATAGAACAAATCCTCCAGACGACTCATTTCCCTCTTACAACAAAAAGATCGAAACAAACAATCCCTAGAAATCCACATACCTTCTCAGAAGGTACTTGGACCCTCCTGGCGCCTACATAACGGTGTCTCCGTCCTCACCTAACCTGAGGTTCGGTACGACCCTTAGGGAATCAGTGAGAGCTTGTGCAACCCAGCTGGACGCTCTGAGGACATCATGGGACGATGGACCCAGTGACCCAGTGACCCATGGGACATCCAGTGACCCACCAGTCGCATGGATTGTGATGTAAACTGCCACCCCCCATGTTGCACGATATTTATCTTGGGTCTATCCCATTACCAGTAACAATGGATGAGGATGATTAGTAAAGGCCGAGATCTCTAAAATAGTGATGTTCTTGCTTGCTGCCTGATACAGGTAAGAACGGACAGTTCAAACATGATCCTTCTCTTCTCAGAACCGAGATCTATCTTTCACCCTTCAGACTGACACACCTCACCTCTGCTTCCTCGCCTACGTTCGCCTCCGTGGAGACCCAACCGAAACCGAAAAATCCGCGCCCCAAATGGCGAGGGACTTCGGTCGGGCGCTCTCTCGACGGAACTCCTGGAGTATCCTGGTGTCATCGGGGCCCCTGAGCACCCGACGAAATACAGGTCTGGTGTTTTTGGAGACTTGATTTCAAGTGGCAGGTGGTGACCTGGCAGGGTGACAGGGTGCTGGTGTGGGATGTGATATGTCTTGTTACCTTTTTTGTTGTACAGGTCCTCAGCTCCCCACTGGAGCAGGGCGAAGTCGTCGTCGACCAAGGGGATGAGGAATATTGCGTCTCAGCATCGGCCTGGTGGCGGGTCGGCGAAGAAAGGAGCGTATGGCACCACAGGATTCACGTCAGCCTGAAGCTGAGGAAAAACACAGGGTTTTAATATGGTTTTATAATAGATGTATTTTAATAATAAGGATTCACCCAGTTCGTGGAACTACAAATCACATCAAATCACCTGATCCGCAAAAACCTGATATGGAAAAGGCCAGAGTTAGACCTACATACATCTTAGCCCTGACTTCTAGCTTGCCCAATAGTATCAACAATGAAGTCTGTCGCCATCCGGGATTTTTGTTTCCTTCCAGGAGAGGGATAGAGCGAATAGAGGGTTCAATGTTGTTAGACGGAAAGACTTCATCCGAACGAATTGAATACATTATTGACTCCATTTTTGTCTTCTTGGGTCGTACATTAATTACATTAAGAGCCACTAAGTGAAATTAGTATTTATGGCTTGTGTGGCTTGTATCACACTCAACGATCCAGAAGTAAGTAATCCTTACAAAGCGTTCATTGCCAGCCGCTCTGGCCCAAGTGTTGTTTACAGCTGCTTCAAGAAGCCAATCCATTGCTTGCAACCTAATTGTGGTCAAACGGACTCCCGCCTCACGAAATGTATTGCAGTAATTATCTGTTTTCATGTCTTTCCTGGAGTGTCTTGCGTTGAATGTTCTTGTAGTCGTAGGCCAAGCCCCACCAAGTACGTCCATGCATTGCTTCACTGAGCATCAGCATGACTTTGAGCCGAAAGCACATTGCGCAAAACCCACGGCTGTCGTGGCCACAAATGCGAATTCCGATCCAGGTTGCAACACACCAGCGTTTGCAGCGGCAATACCGCCAAGGGCAAAGATCGATTGCGCAAAACCGCCTGCCCGTGGGGCATGCAATTCCCACCAATTTGGGCGCAGCTGTGCAAGCTGCTGGTAGATCCTGATTGCATATATCGAGGCATATATCGAGTTCACCAGCGCCGTGGTCTCGGGCGCTGCTCTTCGGCTTCGGCGGCATAGCGCTTAGCGCGTTGCCCATGGACTTGTCTGGATTTGCCTTTAATAAGGAACATTTGCGAAGACTTGTCTCGAGCCCTCTGCAAATTCTGCAGGATGTCGGCGGTTCAGCCCAGGAACAAGACCCGAAGCGTGATTTCCCGCGGTCTGATTCGTTTTCATCTTTCTTGATGTTCGGAGCGATGACAAAGCCCCCAGGAAGTCCAAGCGCCTGACCCAACACCTCTTTGACGTTGAAACAAGTCCAGGTTTTTTGCGCGGGGAAGTCCAAGCGCCTGACACAACACCTCTTTGACGTTGAAACAAGTCCAGGATTCAAGCCCTGTGCCACTTCAAAGCAAGGTGGTTTCCTCACAAACCCCGTCACGCGGCCGAGTCGTGTCACGGATAAATACTAAATTGCCGATTCCCATGTCGGCACCTCATCAATCATCAGTCATCAGCCAGCCAGCACGGCCAGCCAACTCTCTCGACACCCTTTCCAACCTCACAAGCACAACAGTGAACTTCTCCAGCTTATAAGAGCCACACATAGCTGCAAAGGAGATACGTCTTCCTTCAGAATAGCCATCAACTGGCGATAGCTGGTGCGGCATCAGCATCGGAAGTGTCCACCCTGATGCGTCGCTTTGGTGCTCCAATTGTTCATTCAGATAACGCCCAGCATACCCTTCACCGGCGAGTAGGCCAGTGGTTGAGTACGAAGTTCTTGCCAGCACCAGTTGTTCAACATAGTAGGGTGCTTGATTTGCATAATCCTCCTACCATATGAATGCGCTAAGGCCAGTTGCGTGCTCATGGCTCATGACTGCTTCTCTTGCTTCGTCGGATTCCTTTTGCTCTTCTGTCTGCTGTTGATCCCCGCCGTGTTGAACAGTTGGGCCACCCACAACAACATCCAAAGCTCCAAGGCCGTAGTCCGTAACCGGAGCCGGTGCTTCCAGCTCATGGAAATATTCTATGTCCATAGCTGTATACGGCCTTGGAACGAAGAAGGTGGGCTGCGGGAACTATCACAACGGAGTAGCAGGACAGAATCCAGCCAGATTCCCACAATACATCAACGATCACTTGTTCACTGGTGGATTGGGTGGTCCGCCGGATCCAAATGAGACAGCTGCATATGCATCTTACCTCACATCAATCCGCCCTTTGCGCAAAGCTTTTTCTCAACTGGGAAATCAATGGCAGCAGGGAGCGGCTTTGTTGCGGGCATTACGTATACAGGTCTGCATGACGGAAGAATAGCCGCTGACCCACAAGATGTTGCGATTGGTGCCCGCGTCCTGTTCACAGAGCTAGATGCTAGCTTTTGCGCCCATCGGTTCACGCAACACCGTTGCGGAGACAAGCATTCAAACCTATATGTATATCTTGCAGTCACGCCAACAACATCCAACAACCTTATATTGGACATCTGATCCATTATCCAGCTGGTTCAAAACAGGAGCACCAACAAGGTTGGCTCATTATTGGATTGCTGATGCTGACTCCAGAACATTGGCCAACCACGGAGGGGCTATCCAGTTCCCTGCCCACCCCATCTGTTCAGCAGCAGGCACAGCCTGTCGGAAGCGATGTAAGCTGTGCGTCACACTCGTCAAATTTGTGGCAACTTGCTAGCTTCGATCACTGCTGTCATTGCTTGAAGTGGAACAAAGGAAGCTGAAATGGAGCAGCACTGTGCTTGGGCGATGACATCCAGGTACTGGAGAGAGAACATATGCCACAAGCGGCGGCCGGCTCCAGGATATGGTCGTGCATCAAATCGTTCAGGATTTGCATCACACGTGGGCGTAGCCGACAGGAGGGTAGCTCGGTTGAGGAACCGGACCCGCTGACGGATGCTGGGAGCAGGCACATCTCGGAGGCGGTTGAAGAGGTATTGTAAGCAATTCATCCCCAGAGCCACTAAGCTCCACCTGACCTGCGACTAGTGTCCTGGCATGGGTCACCAAGGAGAAGTACCTTGCCTTAGCTCAGGCGCATGCAAATACCAGTTCCTCTGCCCATCTGTTTGAGTAATGGATCACGAACGAAGGTTGCAGGGGTACAGCACTATTCCTGTAAGCAACAGCTTGGCATCCACGGCAGCCAGCCCTCCTGGCCAGGTCCTCCCATTTCAACATTTCCACCAGCATCGACGCATACTCTGGCAACACTACCAGCTGTAGGCTGCAATGGCCATTCATCAAAAGCCACTTACAGGTGAAGACGCACTTTGCTTCGCGGGTCGGAGCCGGATTGGAAACTAATCGGTTGGATTCTGAAGCTGGTAACCTGGTATTCTGAAACTTGGATTCTGAAACTGGGGCTCTGAAAGGGCGTCAAAAAAACATGAAGCAAACACATTTTTCAGGGGATCAAGAGAAACAAAAATGAATCAGAAAAAACACAGATATAAACGGATCCAAACGTGCAGAAGTATTCCATTCGAAACAGTGATCAAAACATTTAAAAAAAACATTGCAAAAAACAAACAGGAAATTAAATGAAATGAAAATGAACATGAACATGCAAATCCAAATGCAAATGACATGAACATGCATGAATGAATGAATGAATAAATGAATGAATGAATGAATGAATGGACATGAAATGAAATGACATGACATGACATGAAATGAAATGAAATGACATGAGCATGAACATGAAAATGTAATGACATGAAATGAAATAATAAATGAAATGAAATGAAATGAACATGACATGAACATGAACATGCAATGGCATGAAAAGGAAAAGAAACGAACTTCTGAAATGAATGAACATATGAACGAACGAATGAATGAATGATTGGATTGGATTGGGTTGACTTGAGTTGAGTTGAGTTGAATTGAACTGAGTTGAATTGAAATGACATGAACCAATGAATGAATGAGTGAACGCATGATTGGATTGGGTTGAGTTGAATTGAGGGAAGGAAGGAAGGAAGGGGAAGGGAAGGGAAGGGAAGGGAAGGGAAGGGAAGGGAAGGGAAGGGAAGGGAAGGGAAGGGAAGGGAAGGGAAGGGAAGGGAAGGGAAGGGAAGGGAAGGGAAGGGAAGGGAAGGGAAGGGAAGGGAAGGAATAAAAGAAACACATAGTTAAGTCACAAAAAAGGAATGGCTAGTCTAGAACGCTATACCCGAAACTATTTCTACGCTCAAAAGTTAAAAGCGGGAGGGGGCGCGTGGGAGGGCGCAGCCCCTCCCCCGCAATGCAACTTGGCACGACCAAAAAACACATATCATGGAGTTTCCCCAATGAATCTTCTTTGATAACTGCAATGGTCTCTGCGCTGGATTTGGGCAAAGTTTTGCAACATCGCTTTTCAATTTCACAGTGGAAACCACAATGGTCAGGCTCTGGCTCTCTCATTTGTCGCTCGGTCACTGGGAAGAAAGCGCGCATGTACCTTCCTTCCTTCCTTCCTTTCTTTGTTTCTTTCTATGTTTTTTGTTGATGCATTTGTGTTATATATAAATTTGTGTATGTATTTTTGACTTTTGTCGTACTGAATTGAAAGAACGTGTGCAGCTGCGGCCGTCTCAATTGCGAAATCCTACGGGGTTGCAAAGCCCCAGCCGCGGAAGGCCAGGCAAGTGGCTGGCTTGCTGTCGGTTGGACACTTTGGGCCTGAGGTTGCTGTGGGAACGAAAAGACGTCGTGGTCTGGCTTGCAATTCACACGTTTGCAACTGTCCCCCTCCCACCCCGCACACCCACCACCCGCATTTTTGCTTTTGCTTGGATGCTTGGGGTGGCCTGTGGTTGCTGCTCGAACTGTTGAGAAATCCACAAAGTTGCGGAATCTTAGTTGCAGAATCCAACAAAATAGTTGCGGAATCCTAGTGGCGGAATCCTGTGCAGCTGCGGAACTCGACTTTATCCTTGTTTCGCAGGTCAAGCGAAAGCCTATTGCACGCCCCCAAGGTACTCCCAGCGAGAGTTGAACTACGCCAGTGACACGTGTGACAAGCAAAATCTTGCCAACACAGAAAGGCATCCCTCTTCATTGTTAGGTTGGATGCTTTTAGAGGCATTTTATAAGCTTTGGGCCCTGTAAAATGCCTAGAGAGGGTCCAAATAAAGCACAAAAGGATCGGCATTTTATAGGCGAACACGGGGGATAGAAAGGCCAACGCTTCTTGTCAGTCTTGTTCTTATTCAACTAAAATAACAAGACTGAATAAGAACAACGACCACAACCACAATCTAGGTAAATATGTCATCCATCATCCCGTACAGTTGCTCCACACGTTCAGAAACCTCTTCCGCAGTGCCTGATGTCCGGAATTTCCTCGCGAGATGGTTTTCCTCGCCGAGACTCGGTGGGAGACGAGAGAGTTCGGCGGCGAAGGTGACGTCCCGCCCGAACCAGGTGCACCCACTGACCGTTTGGGAAGCGGCGAGAGGGAGCGTTTGGGAGCCTTAAATTTGATATCGTCGTTTCTGAAAGTAGTCGAATAGTAGCGTGGTTGACCTCAATACTATTCGATTGGTGTAGTTAGTAAACCTATATTATTTTTTGATGTAGTAGCCGACATCAAAAGTAGTCGATTGGTGTAAGAGATCCTTCGAGATTTCCATGGAACGACGCGACCTATCTGGGACTGCCCATACTACCTGCCATTGTTGCTGGTTGACTTCAGGGGCCAATGTAGCCACATATCAAACAATAGCTTAACATTCCCCCTGAGTGTTTGAGCTTGCTTTGTCCCCACTTTGATTCTGGCGTCAACGTGACGTCCGTGAATTCAAGCTCTATACTACCATGCTGTTCATCGGCCATTCTTCGCCGATGCGGCCATCCTCGGTAGGTAGGTTGAGCTCCCAAGGTCCTTCCGCACCGACGTTCTTGGCTCAGCCTGGCTCTCTTTCTCTCTCTGCTCTGCCTAAAAGCCATGCCTAGGCCTCCAATCGTCTCTCCAATCGTCTCTCCTCAGGTTCGGTCTGACTGGAGCCCTCCTGGCACCTACCCCAGTCCCACCAAACCTCAGAAGGTATGACTGGAGCTCTAAAGCCTGGATGGCGGTTTTGGGGGCTCCGATCTGCGCTTCGTTTCCGCCGACTCGGCACCGAGAGAGAGTCCGGGCGAGGTCCGGGCACCCCCGGTTTGCCCGGGTCCTTCGCCTCTGAGGGGTAGGCAACGCAGGCTGAGCGATCTCCTGCGCGAGGCAAAGCACACCCAGGCACGGCCCACCTCTCTCAGAGTAGGCCCATTTCCAGGAAAATCGGGGAGGCCGGTTTCGTCCGCGCCACGATGATTCTGCAGTAGGGAGCTGTTTCGGGAGTGCAGTAGGGAGTGCCATTGGCATGATTTGACGAGATGGGAAGCATTGTTCCTACTGAAAAGAGAAGACCAGTATCATCCTACACCTCCGAAGGTGTAAACAACGGCCGCACACCACAGCCGTGTGGTTTGAATTCTCCACCCAGCTCTGTACTGGGCGAGTGAACCCAGCCAATCTCTAATGCCAGAAGGTCCTATTAACGAAGAGCCTCGAGCATACCTCCGCTTTCAACTAGCTCCAACAAGCGTTTGCACTGGCGGTTGCTACGTACGTGCTCAAATGGCTGAATCAAGGCAAATGCTAACTGGACACGACAGTAGCTTCCAGGAGAAATGCGACTACAATCTCATCACTGCGATGAGCAGTCAGAATGCACTTGCACGCACATGCATCAATGCAGCACATGCTATTGCAAAAACAAAGTCAAACTAATTGAAAACGAATTCTGCATCAAATTCTGCCAACAACACTCGAACAGTTGATCTAAATCAACCCAAAGGGGGCATTCCCCATGGAAACGCATGGTCATCATTAGATCAGTTCACCTGTTTGGGCTCACACGCCTCCCAAGTAGGCCCGGCCAAGGACCCAATTTCTAGGTACATAGCACTGTGAAAAAAAAGGCGTCCAAAAATCTAGCTTACAGTTTTATGTCTGTTCTTTTCTTAATTTATGTCTTTCCTCCTAGATGCCATTGGTCCCTAAGGCCATCACCGGGTACCTAGCTGCTCGTGAGAAACATTCACTGAACATCTGCTGCTGGTGTTTCTAGTTTCCATATACTTTCCTTGTTTCCTTTTTTCTGAGTCACTAACCTTGTTATACTTTCCGTGTTATTTTAGTTTCTTATATATACCTTCCTTCTTTCTGAGTCACCATTTGAGCGTATAGGGGGCCTGCCAGCGAATTAGAAAAAGCAAGCTAAACGAAACGTCAAGCTTCCACAAGTTACATTTGTTGACCACCCACCCACTCATCAAACTGGGGCATCATAAAATGATATAAAATGTAATGTTCCAGGTATCAATCTACTTGTTGCTGTATTTTGGCCTACCCCCCCCCCGCCGCGGGGTATGCCCCGCAATTACGTGGGAGAGGGTCAAGTTACATTTCTTTTGGGCATGGGGGGAGTTGCCAAAAGATGTAACATACCTTTTGGATCCTCCTACCACTGTTTTGATGGTTAAGGGGTGGCGGGGTGGCGATGTGTTTTTGTTGGTGAATGTAGGCCATATCTTGGCTTCCTGTTAAGGCTTCAGGATTGTATTGCTTCTTTATGGGTTTTCATCCTGTTAACACGTCCTCCGTTCACCGCCCCCGTTCGCGCGCGCCTGTCGCGAGCCCTCGTTCACTTCCTTCTGTTCCAGCTCCTCCGCCCACGAGTGCAGAGGCGACAGCGGCGACAGCCCAGCTGGGGTGGGGCGGCAAATCGATCTCACCCCCACACATAACCTGCATCGGTGGTGCCCCAAAGAACCACATCTTTCACACATATACGACCCGTCTGGGACTGGCAGGACGGACTGCTGCCCCAAACAGGCCCCCCTGGCACCACCCCTGGCCTGATCGGCATCAGTCCCATGGAGCGTCTGGGTCAGAGAAAAAACAAACACATGGCAAACGCAACAGGTAGCAGGAACCACGGACCGTGAAGGTGGTAGTGTCTTAGACCTTTTGATGGGATCCCCTTTTTCGTGCTTTTTCGTCTCCAATCATTGTGCGTGGCGCACGTGTGTTTCTGGAGAAGCCTAACCACAAACTCTAAAGAGAACATGCTCAGCTTGTATTTTGGCCAGTCAGTGTCCCCGTGCATCCACAAAAACAACACACCTCCGCACCCAAACCATGTATGAGCCTCACCAAATGCATCACAGCTTGGCAAACGGTCCACACAGCTTTCCACCAACTCGAAGCTCATGGTGCCATGACTTCGAAGCTCACGGGCGATCGCCGGGCAACTCTTTTCGCATCTCCTCTACTCTATTCGTCGCCCCCTCCCCACCTGGCCTTAAGAATGCGTTGCAAGAGATCCAAGTCATGATGCTGCAGCCTCGAAGACTCGAGGACCAAACCGCCGCGAGTCGCAGCGAGTCGCCACCGAGTCGGCGAGCGACCACGACAGCCCACCGTCGCACGACTCCGTCGTGTGGTCTGTCGTGAGATGGTCAGGTGCCGTGAGGATGGTCCGAAAGCCAGTCGACTTCTGTTTCATGAAACTGCATCAGAAAAGCTTATGGTGCCATTACATCAAGTTGCCCAAGTTGCCACCCGTTCCCGCCCTGTGTTTGGGTGTGGTGAGCTGTCACCAGAACCCAACTCGCTTTCTTTCAGTTGGTGTCGCATGTGGTCAATCACAACCCGGTGGATCCACTGCCACCGTACCTCAGAAGGTATTGCATGACTGGGCCCTCCAAGCCTACACAAATAAGCAGCCTCCCCGTCCCTGCTCACCGTCTACCTCAGAAGGTATGTGGATCCACAGGGAAACAAAACGACACACCAAAGCCCAACTCAAGAACATGGAAGTGGAACTCCTCCTGCTTCATGAACTTAACTTCCCAGCAGTTGGAGCATTTGTTGGCAAAAATCACCGCCCCTGAATGACAAGTCGAGGATCTCTCTTTCTTGGATTCGGTCATGCAGAAGCATTGCTCTCTAAAGGGCTCCAAATAATTATCCTCCTCAGAAGGTATTTGGAAACCCACCCCAGAACCTTCTCAAAGGGTACGACTGGAGTCCCTGGGGTGAAGCAAAGGGCCAGGTTTACACGGATTTCATCGGATTTCCATTCCTCAAACCCAGCCACCCTCCTATGCCATGGCCCCTCGACCCCTCAATGGGGGGTGTCATCTCCGTCTGCGATCCTATGTCCTCCCGTTTGCAGCGGGGGCACGCCATGGCCATCGAATGGGTTTCAGCGATGAAGTTGGCGAGAGGATCTTTACAAGCTTTACAGCGAACGGAGCTTGCTCTGAGTCTCTTCTGGTCGCGGCTGCGGCGACTTGAATCGCGTAAGCATGACAATTGGTTCAGGGACGCTCCAAATACCTCCTGAGGTTCGGTATGACTGGACCCGACGTTTTGGCACCCACCCCAGTCCCACCTTCGAAACGAAGGTACGACTGGAGGCCCTTTTTATGGGGGAGTGTTCTTAAGGCGTTTTGAACCGAACCTGATGGGTGCATCACACGCGCGTGTCGAGCAGTCAAGCCGCCCGGTCCTGGCGACCGGGAGGACCGTCGACTCCGCGTGGTCCCATCGACGAAGACGCCAGTGGCTTCAAACTGAAAACAAAAACTTGTGAGTGGATTCAATCATCCGAATTAAGGGTTGAACAGTTGAACGACATATACATATCTGAAACCATCACGGCATGCATGGCTGCCACGTGCTACCTGTGGAATCCTTTGGATAAGGCTTCAGCCTTATCATTCCCCCCAGTGGAGGCGTCATCATGCGTCATCAAGTGACTCGCTACGAGTGTTTGTCACGGTGACCGTTTAAGGAGCAGCCAGCGTATATTTGGTGTCTATACCAGGAACCCCCGGTTTGAGGTGGTTCATGGACAATTTTTAAGGGGCTAATCATCCTTCGACACCGCAAACCGGGGGCCTGGCACTATCCAACAGAAGGGGAGTATTGAAAACCTGGAATGCCCAGTGGCATCCAGTTGAAATATGATACCTGGATGTGCCATACATGGATCAAGCCATATATACATGGAGGACAAAAGGCCGCCTGACACCTGACCCGTCTATTTTGCGGTCTTTCTCGTGAGCGACCCGTTCGGACCCTGAGAGGATCTTGACCCCAAACGCGCCCCTGTGTTCAGGGACCAGGGCCGTACCCGAATCCTCGAGTCAGGGGTCCGGACCCGAACCAATCCCTAGGTTTTGAGGGACCTGTCGGGCTGTTTGGAGCGTCTGGGTTCAACAAATAAACTAATGGGGGTGTGCAAAACACTCCCTGGAAGAAGGGGAGTCTAGATTCAGCTGACAATAGACCTGTTCACCCGCTGGTTTGGTGTGAAAATGCTCACCCACAACAAACCCCTTCACAACTCCATACCCTGCTGACTCCTGACCCTCCCTAGTACATCATCAAACATGTCCTAAACACCTTGTCAAGAACCACCCATGACCCCAAATCGCCGAACGCCCTTCTTTCACGCCCGCATGCCACAAAGCCCGCACACCGCTTACCGCGGGACCTGTCAAACTCTACCGCCGGTCCTTGGCCGGAAGCCTTACTGCCAGCCACTGTCCGCAGTCATCCGCAGTCAGCGGGGTGCGATTGCTGAATCCATCGTGGCGTGGACGGGAAGTTCGATGACCGCCCGGAGCTTCGAGCGTCGCGAAGAAGTCGTTCGGAAGCGGTGTTCATCGGCTTCCGAGGGGGGTTGAGCCCGCTCGTGGCGGTGGAGGGCTGATGAAGGACTCACAGGTGGCAAAAGGTATACAGGATGTATGGACTTGAATGTATGATATTTGTGGGCTAATTACCTGGACCTATCTGGACCTTCCTGTCAGGGTCTCCAATGGAGATTCACAAGCAGTGTAGGGGGCTGCTGGGCATGAACGCAGGGACAGCAGTTCAGCTCGCACAGGAATCCATGACTTTCTGTGTCGTCTCTCCAACTGAGTAGTGCATGGGGTGCTGCCAGCCACTTTACAGGACATGACACGGCCAATGCGACGTCAATCGCTCTGAGCAGTGAATTTCTGTGATATGAAACGGCCTTAGATGCAATGCAGTACACATATTGGCATAGCAGGACACCTCTATTGATCTCTGACTGTCATGAGCGGGAACTGGTAATAAAATATGGCGGTCAAAACACGGAACCCCTAATCAACCTCGCTTGTGGTACCTCGCTTGTGGTCTATTCTGTTCATTTTCGGTGGTTATGTTCCGGCCCGCCACGACCCGCAGCCAGGCGCCACATGATCTCAAGTCCACCAACAGCTCAAATCTACGAATTCAAACGTCTGTCCTGTCTCCAAGCGTGCATACCTTTGCAGCGTCCAATCCTTGCGTGCCCTTTGTCTGGGGCCTAGAGTCTAGCTACCAAAGCAGTACCCATGCTGGGACCCATGCTGGCCTCTCTCCATGGGCGGTGCCCTCTGAACCTCAAATGTTCTGATCTTAGGCCACACCTCCACCATCTCGTCCATCCAACCCTTCCGTGCCCACCCCATTTCGTGCGATGGCCTCCACTCGAAACACACGGAAACGGCTTTCTGTCGGAACGCGCAAACCCGCGCCCCTCTGCACACACCATCCATCAAATTCGAGTCCCAAGGACCCTCTCCATAAAGGCTCCGGCACCGCCCCTTGGCAGGCGCCCTTCGGCCGAGAGGAGATACTCCTGGGGACCTGTTTGGTGCGGGAGGTTGTCTTGTCCCTGGTGGGTCTCCAAATCGCATCACATGTATACAGAAACGTGGTGGATGAAGAAACACGAAGAAGAACAAACAAGTCATGGGCTCCCAAGCGTATTTAGACATATCTCTTCCAACATGCACCAACACTCCCCGTTAGTATGGAATACTTGTTCAGCATTGACCTCTGAAGTCACCCAAACCCACGAAGTGTTTATCGGTTTTTATACACATGCACCATGTATGGCATATTTACATACATTGAACCCTGAAACCACACCATTGCAGGACCTGGTAAATATGCCATACATGGATGGTCTCGGGTATGATATGGCAAACATAGCCACGCTTCATCTGAAGCAAATGACCCCAAACATCGTGGAAGGTAGCCTTCTGCTGCGGCAAGGTTTCCCAGAACATCCACGTATCTCAACTGTGAGCAAAGATATGCCTTTACAGTGGAAGTAGACTATTACAGCCAAGAATTTAGGTACTTATTCAAGACTTGTTCTCATATTCTACTGATGCTGGTCTATATCAAGAAGGATTTCTTCAGACTGACTGGTGCGACTTGTAGGGAATGAGAGTGACTGGCTCCTTTGGAACAACTGGGGCCACTTTCGGGATGATTTCAGGAGTGTATCGCTTGGTCTAGTAGTAGTCTAAGAGATGTTTGGACCAACACCGAAGCCTAGTATTGTAGCAGTCTGATAAGTACATATATATGTCTTCTAGAGGGGTCCACAATGGTCCACATCAACCACCCTACCTGGGGTAACTTGTGCCATCGAACCTCTGAAACCACAAAGCCACATGTGTTCGCGTTCTTTGATCCCCTGTCCGCCTGCAGGGTCCTATCTTACGGCCGAACTCGTTGTATATATATCCTGCGAATATTTATTTTTTTTCGACACATGTTTTGCGGCCGGACCACGCGGTTGGCACATACACACAGCACAGTCGGAGCAATACCCCGCCCAAACAATCCATCCCCAAATCATCCATGGGACTGGCATATTTGCGTATACATTGATCATCATTGATCCCTGAAACCACCCCATTGTAGGTAAACATGCCCCATGGATGGGATGGTCTGGGATGGGATAGCAATGGCCTGATGGCCTACATTTTGCCGTTTCTGGTGCATGTCGGTCAAGATGTTGCTGTCCCATGGATCGTCAATTCTGAGGCTTCCTCAGTCAGCTAGTTTTTCGATGAAGATGTTGCATTTAGAACCGTATCCTTCAACATGAATCTGTCCTTTACAAAGTTGGCAAATTGGGACTTCAATCTCTACGGAAATGCATGAGTTTTCGAAGTTTGGAGGTTTGCTCAATGCCTAGTGACTAGTGCACTCCGACTCACTAATATGGAAGTGGATGGCATGGCCCTTGGAAAAACACCATTTCCTCTACAAACTTCTATAGAGGATATTCCCACTATATAGCCCTTACAAGTCCAACAAAGCGAGTGTTGTTGAACATGACCCTGTCAAGTATGAAACAAGGACCTCCCTAGAGACCCCAAAATAGAGGCGATCGCTTTGCAATGCTGCTGCTGCGCATTGCGTTGCCATCTTGAAAGTAATGCCGGCGATCGGCAGCTCAGCGCATGATATGAAGTCTATAAAACATTATAAAGCACAATATCGCACTGTGACTGTGACCCCTGAAATCTGAAGATTTCTGGTGCTTACGATGTCTTTGGATGGGGGTCCATGGAAACCACTTCTTGCGAGATCTCTTCACCTGCTAAAACGTTCTTTCCCAAACCAGGAGCCATCCTGTCCTGAAGCACAATCACCACGGAAGTCGAACAAAGGCACAACTTCTCAACACACCACCACCACCACCATCACCACGATGACGACCACATACCACTACACCCCTTGGAGTGAACGTACCTCAAACCTGACTGCTTGGCCTTCCACGTGGGGGGAGGGGTGCTATTCTATGATTGATCCAGGGTTCGCAGCTTCGCAGCGCATGATTGTGTAGGGTAGTCCATTGGAGACTCCTCACCCAAACAAACTGGTACCAACATGGAAATGTCAAACCCTTCAGGTCCAAAAGGCGTCGAGTCCGACGCGTCGAGTCCGACGCGCTCCGCCGCCGCCATTCGAAGAAGCTAGCGATGCGTTGAGCAAACCGACCTAACCCACGACACGGAGTCGTGTGGCACGAAGGCCCGTGTATCAACGCGCAGGTGTGTCGCATTGCGACGACCCGCGCGCGAGTAAGCGCAGCCTGAGCGAATCGGTCCTCATCGGCCGCAGGATGACGAACACCAACACCCATGGTGCAAGACGAGCGCCATGAAGACACACATGGATGACGAATGGGACCCAGAAAATCACGTTCATGTTGGGTGCGATTAGACCTATTCTAAGGACTTCAGTAGATGACAAAAATGTCAGGTTGGAAGGTCCTGTAGGATCCCGCAGGCTATCATCCTGGGATCCTTGATGAGATGGATCCATCTTCAGTCCCCAAAGAATCGAATAAATCATGCACAATTTGAGATTGTAAGAAGGATTTGTTGGAAAAACATGCGCAGATTGTCTCACAATCCCTGCCCCTTGGAAGGGTCACACCTGTTTGCGCCATCAATCGGATTC